AATACAATTGCGGGAAGGAATAGGGAACAGGGTATGCTTTGAAGGCACCTAGTGAAATACTGCTGAACACCTGGCATGATGGTGCCTGGCAGGGCTGTTAGGGAGTAAGCACTGTTTATCTTGCTTGGATGGAACAAACCGGTACTGGGACAGAGTGCAATTAGGACGTAACCCATCAGGTCAGTGAGAAGCCATAATTCCGGCTGATCTCAGCTGCACTCAGTAGAGCCCTGCCACTTCACAGACCAGGGCCTAGGTTTCCATGGCAGCCATTGAGGGAGGGGCTATACTTGCCCACCATCAGACATGCCCATTTGAGTCACATAGAGCTTCGGTCTGACTTTTTTTTTTTTTTTGGTACCGGGGATCGAACTCGTGTCCTTGTGGTTGTGAGGCAGGTGTCAGAACCACTGAGCTAAATCCCCAGCCCATGGTCTGACTCTTGATATAAAACAATATAGCTGAATTATGGAAAGCAAGAAGCAGGTTCCACTAGTACTGGGCAGGGATGTCTGCTACAAGAGACCCTGTCCTTTGACTCTATGGCTTATAGTGGGGCTTGGGCCAAGTAGCAGATAGATCTCATCAGATTTCATTTGATCTGTTGGTAACTGCTCCATGGAATACAATGTTGTAGCTTTTCATTGACTAGAAGGCTTGAGTAGAATGCTCCTCACAGTCACAGGCCTGGAGGAAAATATTAGGATATCTGCCATTTATTTGCCATAGCAGATCTAAGAGGTGTCTTCTTAGGCCTCTCATCCTGTTACCACTGTACCTCGGTTGCCACATTCTCTCACCTAGGCTATCTCATGGTTTTACACCATCTTCCCACAGTTGCTCTGCTTTTCTTCTCTCCTTTCCTCTTTCCTTCCCTCCCCTCTTCCCCCACCCCCGAGACAAGGTCTTGCTATAAAGTCCAAGCTGGCCTTGAATTCATGATCCTCCTGCCATAGCCTCCTGAGTGCTGGGATTACAGGTGTGCATCACAGTGTCTGTCTCTCTGCTCTGGTTTTCTTCGTTTGTATCTGGCCTCTGTTCCGGTCTGTACACCCAATGGCTGCCAGGGTGATTTTTTTCAAAATGTATATCTGGAAAAACTCCTGGGTTCCAGTTCCCTTATGGTAAAGGCCAGGTCCCTGGCATGGCCTGGCTTATGTATATCTACCTCCCCTGTGCCACCTTGCTTGGTGGTGTTCCTTGATGCAGGGCCTTTGCACATGTTGCTGCTCTGATGTTAGAACACATTCCTTCTCTCTCTGAATACCTGCTGATCCTTCAGTTCTCAGCATAGGTGCCATCTACTTGGGCTCTCTTCTTCAGGCTCTGCCCCCATTTGTAGTTATGTTCTTATCTGGGGCTGTTTAATGGGTCAACCAGTCTTCACTAGACTAGCTCTGGAGAGTGACAACTGAATGTGTTTTTAATAACCATTGCATCTTGGGCCGAGATTTAGCTCAGTGGTGCTGCCAACTGCCTCGCAAGCACAAGGTCCTGAGTTTGATCCCCAGTACCGCAAAAAACAATACAAAACCAAACCAAACCAAACCAAAAAAACCATTGCATCTCTGGTTCCTAGAAGTAAACTTGGTAGGTGCTCAACAAATCTCTCTCTCTTTCTGTTTTTTTTTTTGGTACGAGAAACCAACCAAACCCAGGGCCTTTGCACTGAGATACATCCCTAGCCCCTTTTAAAATTTTCTGTTTTGAGGCAGGGTCTTGGTAAGTTGCCCAGACTGGAACTGAGCTTTCAGTCCTCCTGCCTCAGACTCCCAGAGTGCTAAGATTACAGGAGTACACCACTATGCCTGGCTAACAAATATTTCTTGAATGATAAATGATTTCTAGTAACCATTAAAGAAATAATGTTGTCTCTTCCCATAGTCCTTTTTCTTTCAAGACCATGCCTTTTTGACCCTGTCCTTGACCACATCTTTTTTGAAGCCAGGAAAGGTAAGTATAGAAGGTGGAATATAGCCCACCCATATTTTAATTTTTTCTGGAAGAAGATTTGTTTGAAATTTGGATGATCCATGAATTCAGATTTTCACTGTTCTTCCTGGTCCTTAAATTATTAAATATACATCATTATGTCCCTGGCTAATTACCTTTCTGGTATGAGGACAGAGGTCATGACTTTTCAGGGGTGATGGGTATGTAGGGATAGGTAACATTTCTCAAATTCTGTGAAATGTTAATACTGTGCCTTATGTAGAACCGTGCTTGATAAAAGCTTGTTTACCCTAATATTCAGGCCGGTATTGGGTCCTTCCTGCTCATGAGTCTTTTCCTTTTCTCTTTCTCTCTTCTCCCTAATTAAGAACATTAAACATTCAGGTGACTTCTTAAGCCATCAGGCACTGGGCCCCATCTGCTGCCCTGGTTCCTGATCTTTTAGAGTTGGTAGCAGCCAGGCTCTCCTGGTCTCTGACTGCATTATGCCCACAGGAGGGCTCTTTAGGTACCAGAGAAGGGTTCCACTTCAGCTATGTACTGCAGAGAGGAACCCTTTTTCCTTTGGCCTTATCTTCCTGAGAGGGGCAGAATCGTGCTCCCTTGGGGGTCTAGGGACTGATGAAGAGGCCGATGTTTGTGAGTCCTAAGGCAGGTCACCTCAGCTATCCACTTCTCTGCTGTCATGGTCACAGAGGGCGTGGTAAGAGGTCTCGATGGAGACTTTATCAGTTGTCACGGGTCCATCTCTAGGGATCTGGAATAGGTTCAGTTTTACCAGATCCAGCCATTTCTTGTTGTTCTTTTTTTTTTTTTTTTTCCGATTGGATCCTCCTATGGTTTTTCTCTCAGGGTAATGCTTGATTCCACGAATGAGTTTAAGAGTATGGTGAGAGACTGTGTGTGTGTATGGCCTCTGTTCCTTGGTCTTTCTTTTTTTTTTTTTTTTTTTTTTTGGTACCGGGGATTGAACTTGGGACTTGGTGCTTGTGCGGCAGGTGCCAGAACCACTGAGCTAAATCCTCAGCCAGTGATCCAGCCATTTCTTAAACACTCACTCCAGGACAGGTCCTGACCTTTTTGATGGTACAGTCTTTCTGCTCAAAGAGGGCCATTTCAAACTCCTCCCCAGGGAATAGTGACAGCTTCTGGAGATGCAGGGACAGGAGAGGTCAGGACTGGCTATGTCAGACTCCTGTTGGCTGGTCATACCTGGTGTGGCTCACTCCTCAGCAGGGGAAGGGCTCTGAGAACAGCAGTGTGTTATGGGGTTAGATTAGCTCTGCTTCATCAGGCTTCATTATGGAAGCTGTCACAGGGGAAGTTAGTGGAACTGTGGGGTCCTGAGGTGGTGGTGGGACTAGGGTTAGGAAAGGCAAGCAATTTTAGAACTGTACCAGCTCAGTTGAAGAATTGGGCACCACTCCATTGCTGGGGCTAGAAACCTTGGATTCAGGTTGGATTCCTTTCATAGTCAGCTTGTGGTTCTGTAATAAAATTATAAGCTGGGTGACATAAACAACAGAAATCTATTTTCTCATGGTTCTGGAGGGTAGAACTTCCAGATCAAGGTCTGTTCCCAGTTCCTGCCTTGCACATGGCCTTTGCCTTCCTGTGTCTTTACTTGGGGAAGAGAGAGACAGCTCTGATTTCTCTTCCTTTATAAGGACACCAATCCTGTCAGTCAGGGCTCCACCTTTATGACTTCATTTAACCTTAATTACCTCCTAAAGACCCCATCTGGACGGGGCTGGGGATTTGGCTCAGTGGTTTCGCTGCCTGCTGTGCAAGCACAAGGACCCGAATTCGAACCCCAGTACCAAAAAAAAGATTTTGGGCGAGGGGTTTGGCTCAGTGGTTCCACCACCTGCCTTGCAAACACAGGGTCCTGAGTTCGATCCCTGGTACCAAAAAAAAAAAAAAGGCCCTATCTGGGATAAAGTCCCATTGCAAGTTAGAGTTTCATTGTTTACATTTTGGAGGGACACAACCTAGTCTTTTTGCTACTCTTTTTCACCTTCCTTCTTACATCCTTATTAAGTCTGACATCACCATGTCCACTGTGTCCCTTCTTCATTCCTGCTGCTTCTGTCCTAGTTTAAGCCCTTGTCATCTTTCACTTGCATGGCAGCCTCCTCAAGTGGTTTTCCTGACACGAGTTTCTCATTTCTCCAGTCTAGCCATGCCAGTTCTGCCAGAGTTCTTGTCCTAAAAAAGAGACTAGCTTGCATCCCCTTTTCCCCCCAAGCCTCAGTTGACTCCCCTTTGCTGGAGGGTAGGGTAAAGGCTTTTTTTTTTTTCTTCTGGTACTGGGGATGGAACTCAGGACCTTGAGCTTGCGAGGCAGGCAGCAGCACCACTGAGCTAAATCCCCAGCCCATGGGTAAAGGCTTTTTAAGGAGTCTACAAGGCCTCTCTGTGACTGGCCCCTGAGCTGGCTTTCCACCCCCAACCCTGCCGTGCATGCTGTCACCTCGTGCTCTAGTACACCTGCTCCTGCACCTGCTCCTTGTTTAGAGTGCTTTCTCATTCTTTAGTGGGAATTTGTTACTCTTGTCTTAGTACTCTGGAGGAGAGTTTTATCCCTTCTGTTGTTGCTGAAATTATGCATGTTTCTCCCTTGGACTGCAAGCTTCTTGAAGGCATTATTGGATGTAATGGTGTGACTATGCACTGGGTTATGCTGGTGTGTGGGGGTCTGTTTTGGTGTCACTGGGGTTTTCTAATTGAGGGTCCTGTGCTGTAAGTCTTTCTACTGTTTGAGGTCAATCTCTTTAGAGAGCTGGGCATGTAGATCTTTTGGGGTTAAGGTATTCAGCAGCTTTTGGGAAGTGCATCTCAGTGAAATTTCCCAGTTACACAGCCTGTGGATCCTGAGTTCTGAGCTGTTGTACTACTCTCTCTCCTGTGCCTGGTACCTGCAGCATCACTGGCCTAGTTGGCTTGCAGGGTCTGGTCTGACCCAGATCCTCTACCACCCAGGCCAGTTTGCCCCTTTTAAGCTGGGTCACTGATTTTTTCTGTGGATGGGGGTCTTTGGGATCTAGGTGTTCAAGCCCAGGCCCAGCATGGCTGGACGACCCATCCGCATAGGAGACCAGCTGGTTCTGGAGGAAGATTATGATGAGACCTACATTCCCAGTGAGCAAGGTAAGAAGCTTGTGGTATATTGTTCACATTTCTTCAAGGGCAGTGATTATGTCTAATTCATTTTTGTTCTTTCAGCGCAATGTGTGATACAGGAAAAGGCTGCCTGTAGATCAGGGGTTGTCAAATTATAGTCTAGGGGCTTAATTTGGCTTGTTTATTACTGTAAATAAAGTTTTATTGGAAAATTGCCACAATTATTTTGTTTCTGTATTGTCTGTGGCTGCCTTCATACTATGACAAGTGTGTTATGTAGTTACACAGACAACATATGGCCTACAATATAACCTACATATAGTCTACAATATTTACTGTCTGGCCCTTAATAGAAAAGTTTGCAGACCTGGGGTTAGATCAATGATTAATTTTTTTTTTGGTGGTGGTGCTGGGAATCAAACCCACAATGACTAGTTTCAAATGAAAACGTAGTAGGGGATATTGTGAAATACATTATGTCCGGAGGCCAGCGTAAACCCTTTTTCTTTTTTGTAGTGCTAGGGATACCCAGGGCCTTGTGCATGCTAGGCAAGAGCACTACTTCTGAAGTACGCCCCTAACTCCTCAGTTTGTTGAGAACAAACTAAAGCAGTTTTTTAAAAAAAGAAATCAAGAATGATATTATTAATATAAGTAATGATGCTGCTGTGTGCCAGTCTCTGTTTTAAGAATGTTATATTTATTACCCTTTTGGCTCTTGCTGCTACTCCATGAGTCAGGTTCTATTAGTATCCTTATTTTACAGTGAGGAAATCAAGGCACAGAAAGGTTAAATAATTTTCCTATAATTATACTAGTTCTGCAGTGGTACACAGGATCCTTACATACATATTCTATGTCCAGGGCCTGCTCTTTCTTTTTTCTTTTTTTGGTACCTGGGATCTAACTCAGGACCTTGCGCTTGCGAGGCGGGAGGTGGAACCACTGAGCTAAATCTCCGGCCCAGGGCCTGCTCTTTTAAATGCTGTTATTTTTTGGAGTGAAATTTCAATTTTGCAGAGTTATGGACCGGGACACACACATTTTGTTTTTTTTTTTTTGGTACCGGGGATCAAACTCCGGTCCTTGCACTTGCGCAGCAGGCAGCTGAAACCACTGAGCTAAATCCCTGGCCCGACACACACATTTTGTTTACAACCCAGGTGGTCTGTGAACCTCTGAGAATGGGGTGAGAGCTCTTGCACCCCCTGGGAGCCCATTATCCCACATATTAACCTTGAACTTTGCTTATGTAGTATGTCTGTTTGATTGCCATGTAGAAATTTTTTTTTTTTTTTTTGATACCAAGGATTAAACTCAGGTCCTTGCACTTGCGGGGCAGGCGGCGGCACCACTGAGCTAAATCCCCAGCCCCCAAATTTTTTAATTTTTACATTTAAATTATTTTAGTGCTGAGGATTGAATCCAGGCTTTGCTCATGCTAAGGATATGCTCTACCATTAAGCCATACCCTCAGCTCCAGGCTTTTAAATTTTTGTATTGACTCTATCAGTCCATTCTAATACAGCCTCTGTATTATGTATCATAGTTAGAAAAGCCTTCCCCACTCCAAGGATAAAAATACTTCTCTCCTATTTTCTTCTAGTTTTGCCCCCATACCATTAATGGAATAGCCAGTCTTCACCCCACTGACTTGGTGCTGTGCATAAGGGTCTACTTTCTCTTCTCTTCTACTGGACTATTCATATGTCACTGCTGTACTCTTAATTACCGAGGGTCCATCATAACTTCTTTTTTTTTTTTTTGGTACCGGGGATCAAACTTGGGGCCTTGTGATTGCAAGGCAGGCACTGGAACCACTGAGCTAAATCCCCGGCCCTTCCATCATAACTTCTAATGTCTAGTAGGCTAAAGTAATACCCTCACTGCTCTTTTTTCAGAGTTTTTCTTGGATATGGTTTATCTCACCATGAAATTTGGAATCACCTTGTCATATTCTAGGTAGGGTTTTGTAATGGGAAAGCTGTTGGTATTAGGAGAAAATTGTGTTTATAATTGAATTAATTTAGGAAAGACTGTCATCTTTATGAAGTCTTCCTATTCAAGAATAAACGTTGTATTCCTTTTCATACGTGTCTTTGTTTTGCTCTTTTGGAATGACTTTAAGTTTTCTTTGTATTGGTCTTAATGCATTTCTTGCTCAGATCCTCCCTTCTTCCCTCTTGTTCACCTTCCCTTCTTATTAAGCCCATGGCCTCACACATGTAGGCAAGCACTTTACCACTGACAGCCTCAGTCCTTTTTATTTCATTTATTTATTATTTACTTATTTATTTACTTAATTGAGACAGAGTCTCCCTATGTAATTCAGGCTGACCTTCAATTCATGTTGATCCTCCTGCCTCAGCCTCCCAAATATAAGGATTACAGGTGTGTGCCACTCTGCCTGGCTTTGTCTTTATTTTGAGATAGGGTCTCACTAAGTTGCTGAAGCTTGCCTTGACTTTATGATCCTCCTGCTTCAGCTTCCCAGAATTCTGGGCTTACATTATAGGCATGTACCACCATACCTGGCAGACTATTTCTTAAATACATGTTGAACAGTTCTAATCTAAAATCCCAGAATTCAAAGTACTTCAAAATCTGAAACATTTTGGGTGGAACATTTCTGACTTTGCATTTTCAGATCAGGGATGTTCACCTGGTAAAGTCTATTCTGAAACACTTTTGATTCTGAGCATTTTGGAGAAGAGATACTAAACCTGGGGGGTTGTCTTTTTTGGTTGCTATTGTAAATGAGGTCAGGGTTTTTCTAAAGGTGTTTATAACTTCTGCTCCATCCAAGTTTAGGTGTTCTAATCTCAAGCCATCATCTTCTCTTCTTGGGCATCTCAGTAGCTTTCTAATCAGCTAACTGCTTATCCTTTGGCCCTTGTCCAGTCTGCGCAGTGCACCTAGTGGCCGGAGTGATCTTCTTATGTATGAAACACATCACTCTTGGGTGCTGCTTTCATTACTGTTCCACATCTTTAATGTAATGTCCTTGGCGGACTTACAGGGCTCTCTGTGACCTGGCCATTCCATCTGGCAAGACTCACTCTGCCAGTCATGTTGACTTTCTGGAAGTTTCCAGGTAGGCTAAGCTATATCTTGCCACAGTTTCTTTGTACTTGCTCTTCCTCCTGAATACTCTCTCTCAGTGCTTTGCCCAGTACTCTTTGTCTCCTGCATGTTTCAGTTTAGTATCTCCATTGCTCAGAGTCTTTCCTTGGCTGTTCATTCTAAAGAAGTCCCCCTCTACCTTGTCATTCTCTATCTCACACTTCATTTCCTTCCTTCATTGTATTTGCTGGTAGCTCTGATTCCTTGTGTATTTATCTGTTTGCTTCCTTTCTGGCTATCTCTTCTATTAGAATGTAAACTCCATAAGGGCAGCAACCATTTCTTTTATTCATAGCATACAGTGATTGGCATATGGGAGGCACACAAAAAATATTGGTGAAATCAAATATAAGTTCCAACTGGTCACTTGAAAAAAGTGTTTTTTATTTCCTAGTCTTCACGTATGTCAATTTCTCCAAATTCTCCACTGAGATGACCCATATTTGTGATCCTCTCTGGCCTGAGAATATACCAGGTTAAGCATTGATGCCCCGTGGGTATTTATTTTATTATTCCTGGGGCCTCCAGTGACATGTTCCAACAGTCATCTCACCTGTCTTTTTTTCCTAAAGATGAGATAGCTCTTCAATATCTATATCGCTCCTGTTTCTCTGGATCTCTGGCAAAAGAACTGTTCTCAGTTCTTGATTCTAGGAGTATAGCAAAAGTATTAGGGTCTGAAATACATAATAAAATTGGAGAAGAATTACCTCATTGGAGAGAAGACTCAATGCGCGGGAAGAAGGCTGAGTGTCATCCACCTTCTCAGCTCAGGTATCTCCCTGCTTCCAGACAGAATCAGTTACTGCCTTCTCTCTGCTCCCAGGGCGCACTGTCCATGTCACCGTCACAGCATATATCACCTGGTTCCTCCTCTCTTTGTGTGTTTCTGAGATCCTTAAGGAGCCCAGTCATCTGCAGTTATTTAGTACATGCTTGCTTACTTAGTGAAAAGTACTTTTGCACCAAGCTCTTGCAAATCTTGCGAGAGCTTATCTCCTTCTGGTAAGGCTGCCCTCTTCCTGGATGGTTCCGGCTGTGGCTTTGGGGTTCCTCCTGAGGTCTCTGCCATGGTGAAGTCTTGGTTTTTGTCTTTGTTATATTTGGTTTTAGATTACATTGTTGGGAGTAGGGAGATAGCATGTCTTGATTCACGTGGGTCATTTATAAATTGTTTCAGACATAAGGAAATAATTCTGTATGCTTATTATTTATATTTAGAGAAATAGTAGTTCCTCATTGGAGAACATTTAGAAAGTAAAGGCAAAGTATAAAATGGATTGATGGTGATTTTTTTTCTTCTTTCTGTCCATTTCCCTCTGTCTCCGTCTTTCTTACCTTTCTACTTCCCTGCTTTTCCTTGCAGAAATTCTTGAATTTGCTCGAGAAATTGGTATTGATCCCATCAAGGAACCAGAACTGATGTGGTTGGCACGGGAGGGCATTGTGGCCCCACTGCCTATGGAGTGGAAACCATGGTAAGTTAGCAGGGGTGTGGCCCCTTGCCTTGGTCTGTCAGAGGCAGAGGGACCTGACACTGGAGGTCAGTTTGAATGGGCCACCTTCTCCAAGCCTGCTCTGCATAGTCAGGGACAGCACTATGTCATTCTATTGCTAGTCCTTTTCTTGTTTCAGGCCTGGGCATAGGTTGACTTGATGGTCGTTCCTGTGAAGGGGTCGGGCATTTATTCAGGGTCCATGAAGCTGCTGCCCTTGCTCAGGTCCTCTAGAACCCACCTGAGATGTCTTTCCTTTTTTTGGGCAGACAGTAAGGTTTTTCTTTTTGGTACCAGGGATTGAACTCAGGACCTTGTGCTTGCGAGGCATGCAGTGGAACCACTGAGCTAAATCCCTGACCCGACAGTAAGGTTTTTAAATTTAATTTAATTTTTTTGTTTTTACTTTTTATTGGGACATTTGCAGTACATAATGATTACATGCCTGAAGTGTCATTGTTACTCCTTGCAGACTGATACTGAAAGTGACAACTACCTCCTTAGCATGTCTAGAATGGTTGCTGTTGCCACAGGGGTTTACAGTGAGTGAGGCCCTGTAGACTGGCAGTGGGCTTCATCTCCCTTGGCAGTCTGTGGCTCTGCCATCCCTGAATTTGTGTAACCCACTCATGAGTAGGTTCCCATTTGTTCATTCATTGATATTTTCGGTTTTAGTTAGAGCTCTTTGGATCATGAGGGCAGAGAACCATTTAAGTTATCTCAGGGAAACAGATTGATGGTTAAGAAATAGTAGCCAAGTTGAGCAGGCTGAAAGCAGCTGCAGTCACTGCTGCTGACACTCTCCTTCCAAGGACTGTGTCATTTCCTGCTCACAGTGATGGTTTTTTGCATTGTCCTCCTCTCTTCACTTCCCTTTCTTCGTCCCCTGCACAGGACTGGGACAACTTGGAGAGAGACACTCCAAGCTGTCTCCCTAAAGTGAGTGACATAGTTTATGTCCTACCTTAGAGTGGGGTTTCCTATGTTTGTACCAAACTATACCCAAGATGTCTTGGGAGGGGCCCCTCTCATGCTGGTGAGGTGCAGTTTGGTGAGAGAAGGTGTGATCATCCTGTTCTTACACCATTTAATGTCTTGGCTGTACTTCAAAATGACTGCAGTTGTCATCTTACTCTTCTCAGCTGAAGATTCATAAATCCTTTTAGCTTTTCCTTACGTGGCAGTCTCCTTGTTCCCGTGATCTCTTTATCTGCCTTTCGTTGGATCTTCTCCAGAGTTTCATGACATCTTATAGGAAATCTGTCAACAATTTACATAGTATTTCAGGTGCTGAGGACCCATGGCTGTGTTTGTAGGATGAGCTTATGGGAAAGCATTTTCTGTTTTGTTTCTGATACTTACCTTGATGAAGGGTAGGACACTGTCATTGGTGAGGGGCTAGCTTTATGCTAGTTGTCTTCATTTACCCACTAGGGTGGCTAATAATGTAGTAGGGAGAACATGAATTATTACAGCGTATTTATATATGACGTCTTTTACTCTACCTCCTTTCCCAAGGATGATTACTGTTAATTGGTACTTTCCTTCCAGGTCCTTTTTTGTTGTTGTTTGTTTTTTGAGACAGGGCCTCACTCTGTAGTTCATATGGCTTTGAACTCACTATGTAGCCCAGGCTGACTTGAACTCGCAGAGATCCTCCTACCTCAACCTCCTGACTGCTGGTTTTATAGGTATGCACTACCATGCCCAGCCCTTCCACATCTTTTCAAACACACATATGCATGCATACACACACACACACACACACACACACACACACTTTTTTTAAACACAAGTGCTACATTATATATGCTTTTCTTTTATGTCAGTACATGTAAGTCTACCTCATTCTTTTTATCAGCTATATATTTTCCTCTATATAGATGTACCAATTTATTTTTTCTTTTTGTACACTGGGAATTTAGCCCAGGGCCTTGCACATGCTGGTCAAGTGCTCTACGAAGTTATGTCCCTATCCCAGATGTACTACTATTATATTGAAGGACATTTGGATATTTCTGAGACTATGTATATAAGGGTCTATTTCTGGATTCTCAGCACTCGTCCATTGATCCCTATCTATATTTTTACCAGTACTATTCTGTCTTAATTACTGTAGGTTTATAATAAATCTTGAAATCATTTAGTGTAAATCCTCCAACTTCGTTCTCTCTAGATCCTTTGCATTTTCTTATGAATTTTACAACTAGCTTGTCAATTTCCTCTTTAGAGTGCATATAAATTAATTTGGGGAGAATTGACTTTTTTTCTTTTTGTATTAGAATTTAAGCACCTTCACACTGATCTACATTCCCAGCCTTTTTAAACTTTATTTTGAGGCAAAGTCTTGCTATGTTCCCCAGGCTGGGCTTGAACTTTTACTCCTACATCAGCTTGCCAGGGTGCTGGGATTACAGGCATGTGCCACCATGTCTGGCAAGAATTGACATCTCTTTGTTTTGTTCTGTTTTTTGAGTCAGGGTCTCACTGTGCAGTTCAGGCTGCCCTAGAACTCAGTGATCCTCCTGCCTCAGTCTCCCAAGTGCTGGTATTACAGGCACGCACCACCATGCCCTCTAAACATTGACATCTTAATAGTTGAATCTCTCAGCTAATCAATAACTATGGACTTAGCTATGTTAGTCCATAGCTAATAACCTGTTTCCGTCTATTTAGTTTTTCTTTAATCTCTCTAAGAAATGTTTTATAGATTTTTGTGTACATGTCTTTATTTCCAATTCCCAATTGTGTGTTCCTTTTTTTTTGGTACTGGGGATCAAACTCAGGACCTTGACCACTTGCAAGGCAGACAGCAGGTGCCACTGAGCTGCATCCCCAGTCCTGGTGTGTTGCTTTTATATAGGGCTGAGGATGTAGCTCAGTAGCGCTGTGCCTGCCTGCTAAGCACAAGATCCTGAGTTCGATCCCCAGTACAGGGAAACAAAACAAAACAAAACAACAACAATAAAATAACTGGAATTGCATCTATATTTTATAGATTAATTTGGGAATATTGGTTTGTTTGTATTATTAAATCTTGTGATTCATGAACTTTGTATATATATCATGATTTTTAGGCCTAAATTAGGACCTTTAAAATTTTTTTCACAATATTCCCTGTAAAATATAGTGTAATCTTCATTAGATGCATCCCAGAGTACTTTAATAGGTTTGTTTTTGGTTGCTAATGCAGATCTTTTACAATTCTTATGGCTTTTCTAATTGTTATTAGTGAATAGAAAGACTATAGTTTTTTTTGTTGTTGTTTATTTGGTTTTTTTTGTTTTCTAAATTTTGCAGTGTGGTCTTGTTATGTTGCCAGGCTGGGCATAGGGTCAAGTAGATCCTCCTGTCTCAGCCTCCTGAGTAACTGGGACTACTGGTATATATCACCATGCCTGACTACACTATTGACCTTCATTATTGATCTTTTGTGTCTAGTTGCCATCCCTAATAGCCTTTTTCTAATAAATTTGTAGACTCTTTAAGTGTACTATGCAGAAAACTTATGTAATCTACAAACAGGAGCAGTTTTATCACTCCTTGTTCAGTATTGAAGTTTAAGTTCATTTCTTTGTATTATTACTTTGGCTAGGAATGGCTTTTAGTAGTTCTAATGAAAGAACTCTTAGAGTGTACATGCACATGTGTATAAGTAGATTACTGCCAATTCAAAAAAATTTTTCTTTGTAATGTTGGGAATTGGACACAGGGCCTCATGCATGCTAAGCAAGTATTCTAGCACTGAACTACATCCCTAGACCACCAATTCAATATTTTAAAAGGCATGGGTCCATTCAGGCCTTCTGTGTCTTCTTAAATCAGTTTTGGTAAAACATTTTTCTGAAAAATTGTTCTTTTGATCTAGATTTTCAAGTTCATCATCATCAATTCTTAATTTCCTTTTATGGTTTTAGAATTGCTATTCAATTTATAGTTATGTCTTTTTATTCCTTATACTTTTCTTAAGGGCTTTTGTTTTGTTTTGTTTTTTGAGACGGGGTCTCACTTTGTAGTTCAGGCTGGCCTTGAACTCACTATGTAGCCCAGGCTGGACTCGAATTTATAGCAATCCTCCTGCCTCAGCCTCAGAGTGCTGGGATTACAGGTGTGCACCACCATACCCTGCTTCTCCTATTTTAAAGATCATTTTATTACTCATATTGCATTCTGGGTAATTTTCTTAGGTCTATTTTCTAGTTCATTATTTGATTTTTTTCTTCTGTGTTCAATTTGCTATTTAACTCACCTCTTTTAAATAACTCTGCCCATTCCTACAAATTCTGTTTTTTAGAATTTGTTTTTAAATTATAAATTCTATTCCTTTTTATCATCATCACCACCACCATCATTATTATTGTTATTGTGCTAGGGGTCAAACCCAAGTGTTTGTGCATGTTAAATAGGCATTCTCCCACTGAGCTATATCACCAACCCCAATAATAATTTTAAATGTAGTTATTTTTAGTCTTCTTTTTTTTGGTACCAGGGATCGAACTTGGGACCCTGTGCTTGTGAGGCAGGCGGCAGAACCACTGAGCTAAATCCCCAGTCCTTTTTAGTTTTCTTTTGATTGTTCTACTATTTCAAATTCCTTGGTGTGTTAATTCTTCTGTTCATTGTGTACTCTGATTTTCCCTCATGATGAACTGTTGCCTCATATGGGGTGTAATTTTTTATTGTGAATTTTGTGAAATCATATTCTATAGGGGTTATTTTCTGTGAGAGTCTTATTCCTAGATTGCTGACTAGCTTTGTAGTTACACTTACCAAGGTTTTTTTTTTTAATGGTTTAGGACTGTATTTAGGACTGACTTGGGATTTCCTTTCTGTATTTTGGACTACATGTGTCTTGAAAGTTCAGGGGTTTTTTTGGTACCAGGGATTGAACTTGGGACCTTGCGCTTGCGAGGCAGGTGGTGGAACCATTGAGCTAAATCCCTGGCCCTTGAAAGTTCAATTTTTGCTACAATTTTTGTGTATCTTGGAGTGTGTGACATGTTCACTTTCTGTATCCATGGCCTGCTAGGTCCTTTTTTCCATGGAGCTAGTGATCCTAAGGATCCCAGATGTATATAAGATCTCATTTCCAGTTACCAAATTCACGAAGGCCTAAGGCCATGTATTATTAGTCACTTTCCCATTTCTAGGACAAAACACCCAATATCTACAACTTAAAGGAGAGGTTTGATTTGGCTCACAGCTTTCAGTGGGTTCAGTCCATGTTTGTCTGACTCCAAGGTAGAAATAGCATGGCAGAAGGGCATGTTGGAGGAAAAGCTATTCAATCCATGGCAGCAAGGAAGCAGAGAGAGAGGGAAGGAGCCAGGGAGAACACACCCTTCTAGGTCACACTCTAGGCCCCACCTCCAACCAGGCCCCACCTCCTTCACAGCACATTCAGCTATGAACTCATCAATGGATGAATCGAATCCACTGATGAGTATTTGCACCCCCATGATACATTCAGCTTCTAAACACATGAAATTTTGAGAGAACATTTTAGTTCTAGACCATAATAGGTCACATTTTATGTCCTTAAATTAGCATCAAACCCCAGTTTCCCAAAGCCTGTGTTCAAATCAGATACCAACTTTGGCCTCTCAGTTCTGTACTTTGGCTTCATATCTTCCGTTTCTGGCACCTGAGAATTTTTCTTTCTGATTAAGTTTGGAAAAAAAATTTTTATTTTGTTATAATTGCCATTTTATATCAGTCTAGTTTTTATCTTTGTTGGCGGAGGATGAAGAGTGGTCACATGTTTCCTTCGGTAAGCATGTTGCCTGAAGTTTTGTATGTGCTTCTTTAAAAATAAAATTTCTAGGGCTGGGGAGGTAGCTGAGTGGTTCCAGCACTTGCCTTGCAAGCGCAAGGTACCAAGTTCAATCCCTGGTACCAAAAAAAAAAAAATTCTAGAATTTGAATTGATATGTTAAAGAATGTGCAGAATTTCAGTATTACTAATTAATATCAAATATAATTTCCATTAAAGTTTAGCAGTCCCATCAATATTGCATATGATTATTCATTTAGAAATTATCAATTAAAAACTGTTAATCTCAAATCTGCCAGATCAATTAGTCTATCATTATTCAAGTTGGCCTTCTATAAAGCTCTAGGGCAGGGACATAAAGCATCCAAATTCTTTCTAATTGTATGACAGTGGTGGCCTTTATACTTCAGTTTTCAGTTGAGTCATTATTTCCATCTGGGTTGCCTAGTCTCCTTGTCTCAGAGACTATCAGAATCACTCAAGACCGCCTGCTTATAGTATTCTAGTCTTTTTAAAGCCTGGTTCTCTTCCTCTTCCATCTTCTGACTGTTAACCAGTTCCAAAGCTCCCTTTATCTTTTCAGGTATAGTTACAGCAATAACCTCACTCAGAATCGATTTTCTGTATTAGTCTGTTTTATATTACTATAGTGAAATATCCACAGCTGGATACTTTATAAAGAAAAGAGGCTAATCTAGCTCAGTTTTAGAGGTTCATGGGCATGGTACCAGCATTACACAGCTCTGGGAAGGCCTCAGGGTGGATGGCATCTTAATGATGAGAGTATGCATGCGTATGAGAGGTGATGTGAGAAAGGAAATGAGAAGTACAAGGGGAGACAGGCTTGCAGTCGTGTGTGTGTGTGTGTGTGTGTGTGTGTGTGGTACTGGGGATTGAACCTAGAGCCTTTGGACTGAGCTGCATTTTCATCTCCAGCCCTTTCTTACTTTTTTATTTTGAGACAGGTCTCGGTAAGTCATTAAGTTGCCCAAGCTGGGCTTGAACAAACTCGCAGTTTTTATGAGAACTGGTTCAGGGGTCCCATGAGAATTACTTTAATTCCTTCTGAGAGTGGTATCCCCAATGCCCTAAGGACCTTCCACTAGACCTCATCTTGTAAAGGTTCCACCACTTAACATTGCCATGCTAGTGGCCAATCTTCCAACATGTGAACCCTGAAGGACAAACTATGTCCAAACCATGGCACCCTTGATATTTTCCCATTTCTGCTCATGTTGCCTTTTATTTGAATTAAGATTCAGTTTGTTAGGTTCATAAGGAGCCGAACTGGGATTGTATTGGATTTATACATTAATTTGAGGATTATTGGTATCTTTACAGGTTCGAGTCTTTTTTTTCAGGAATATGGAATACCTCTCCAACATTTCAGTAAATCACCCATTTCAGTCCCCCATTTTAGTCAAACTTTGTAAACCTTTTATACATTTTGGACTTATTTTTGTTTATATTGCTTTTGTGAATGGGATTCTTTATCTTGGTAGCTTTCCTAGTGGATTATTGTTTTGGTGGTGCTGGGGATTGAACCCAGGCCCTCTCACATGCTAGGCAAGGGCTCTGCCACTGTGCCACACACCAGCCTTTCCTAACATTATTGTTAATGGTGGATGGGATGAATGGTTTACTCTGGACTTGTCCAAGTTAAAACACAGATTCTCCTACATTATTTTCTTCTACTATGATCCCCACTAGCTTGGGATTCTAAACTTATTAGTTTGGTATCTTTTGGAAAACTAAAGCTTTCACAATGTATTTTTCTTCTTCACACTGTTCATTGAAATATTGTTATTATTATTATTATTATTTTGGTATGGAGGATCAAACTCGGGACCTTCCATTTGTGAGGCAGGTGGCGGAACCACTGAGCCAAATCCCCGGCCCTTGTTCATTGAAATATTAAGCAAGGTCTATCCTAGCCTTTATCTCCAAAGTGCCATAGTGTTTATACTTCATTTAGATAGAACCAAATTCATTCCCACTGTAGACTAGCACAATTATCCAGGAATTCTAACGATTATGTGTCTCTATCTATAGAAGTCTTTATGCATCTAAATCTATTGTTCATATCTAAGCTAACTCCTATTCTTAGCCATATGGTACCCTTTAATTTTGTGTTAATCTTTTTCACTACCAAACCCTTTCTTCCCCTGTCTTCTCTGTGTCCTGTCCCCTTTTCTTCTTTTTCTGTTTTTGTCTTAAGTAGCTTTGGACATGAGCAGAGATTAACTTCTGAACTTTGCTCATTCCCAGCCAGGACATCACAGGTGATATTTACTATTTCAACTTTGCCAATGGGCAGTCTACGTGGGACCATCCATGCGATGAACACTATCGGAAGTTGGTGGTTCAAGAGCGGGCAAAACTGTCAGCTCCTGGGGCCGTTAAGAAGAAAGACAAGAAAAAGAAAAAGGAAAAGAAAGACAAGAAGGACAAAGAGGCCTCCAAAAGTCCCCTGGTAAGTCAGTGGATGCCAGCTCTGAGAAGGGCCAGGACTGAAACCTGCAGGATATTGGGAACCTGTAGATGTGTATAGCCAGGAGATTACAAACAACGATAATAAATTCTTGACAGTATGTCATCTAAATTTGCTTGTCTTCTAGCAGTTATTACCATTTTGAAACAATTCCACTGCTTTCTTTTTTTTTTTGGTACTGGGGATTGAACTTGGGTCCTTGCACTTGCGAGGCAGGCAGTGGAACCACTGAGCTAAATCCCTAGCCCATTCCACTGCTTTCTTTCTGGAGCATGTGTTGCATAATCGGACTAATAAGAGAGCAGCACTGCCAACAGTGGTGTTTCAAAGTAGTGTAAGTGATGATGTCTGCCACTCTGGGTTGGGAACAGGGAGCAATTGCTGGAGGCCAGTGAGCCTACATGAGTGAGGGTTCTTCCCTGTCACTGGGTGTGGCTGTCCTAGTGTGGGCTTGTTATTTGCTTAAAGTAGTTTGAATTCAGTTGTCAGAACACCAGTACCTTCAAGATTGAAAAGAAAAGTGTTGGGCTTTATTTGCTACATGGCTTTTCTTTGTTACCAGTGTCTTTGGTTAGTGGTGGATAACTGGAATTTTATTTCAGTGTGGTCGTGGTGGTGGTGAGTAGCTTTTATGTTGAATTCAAAATGGTCTTATAACCATTGTTGTTTTATTTGTCACTTTAACATCTCTGAACTTAGGAGGTGGAAATTATTGCTGTCATTTTAGGAGGAGCACCTTGGGAGGCTTAGGGAGTTGAGGCCCAGACTGGCTCACATATAGGTGTTACAGGGACCAGGCCTTTTTCCCTTCACTCAGCCATGGGGCTGGTAGGTATGTTGAGGAAAGGAGGGCCAGAGGAACTGAGTTCTGCCAGGTGGGGAGCACTGGGTATATTTTTTTAACCCTCTTAATGGTCCAAGTTGTTTTGTCCCTTTTTTGTTTATAGTCTGTTTCTCACCAAAGCCTCATATTTTTCACTGAAGATTTTGTCCTTTTTTTTTTTTTTTTAAACTGGGGATTGAACAGGACCTCTCACATGCTAGTCTATCTACCATGGAACTACATCCTCAGCCCTGTCTTTTTTCCTAAGGTGTCATTTCTAGCTTTGAACAGTTGTTGATTAATTTATCCTTTTTATCATGTTCAAGCTTTGTTGATTCCCTCCTTTCCCTCCCTGCATATTACTCATAGACCTGAGAAATATAACAACAAACCCATTCTTTTAGATAGAGAAAAGAGGGTAGGTAATTTCTAAATAGGTTGAATTTTCTGATATCATATGTTTGAAAGGCAAAAGGTGGCAGATAGGCTTTTCACTAGGTAGGATTGTATAAAGTGATACTCCAGTATCTGGCAGGCTCTGGCATAGTCTGGCAAGGTATGACATGACTAAAGGTAGGAGAGGAAATGAAGTGAGGGTTTGGGGGGTGGTTGTGATACATTGAATTCCTGGAGACCCCTGTTAAAAGGAATTTCTTCTGTACTTTGGGGGAAATGAGGGTAATTGGACAGCTCTGGGCCATCAGTTCTTTGGGCTCAGGACAGTCACCTCAAGCTTGAGTTTGTCTGGAGGACAGGCCTGAACAAGGTGGCAGCCTGGATGCAGGTGATTTGGGCCTCCTGGAGGTGTGCAGTCCCAGCCGGATGGCGTTTAGTGTGAATGTTTGCAGGAGCTGTTGGTTTATTATGGTGTCTTCTATGACTGTTTAGGTTATCTCCCAAGCAGTAGCAACTTGTGCCTTTGCTAGAAGACACTGGAATGAATTTCCAAGGGTCAGGCCATGGGTGTACTTCCCCTCTTTTCTCCCTTGTACAAAATTTCTGAGAGTCCTTGATAAAAGGGGGATTTTATAAAATTAATGAATCACAGAACCTGAGAGTAGTACCTTAGGTAACACCTGGCTAGTGATTTTCAGACTTTTGTTAATAACAGAGCCCTGCCTTCAGATCATTTTCTCTGTAGAGGTACAGCTTATAAAGAAAGAAATGGAGCTGCTTTGGTTGAACCTGGGGGGGTGGGGTGGGCCTGAATGATGCCTCTTCTCTGTCACATGTCCATTTTATAGGGCCTCCCAAGCACTGAGTCCCCTAGGTACCATGGAGCAAGGTCTGCAGTCTGTTGATCTAGTCCAGCCTCTTCTCTGTAAAGAAAACAGCTTATTTTCAAACCAAGGAAGTTTTAGCTTTTCTTCTCTTTTTGATTTCTGCTTTAAGTGGAGGGTGGGTTTCTGCTAAGAACTTGCCAAGGGTTGAGGTAGTAGGTATAAATCAGAAGTGTTTTGTCTTAGTTTTCTCTGCATGTTTATGTAACCATCTAGGAAACACAGCCTGAGCAGGGACTTCTGGCTTCTTCCTTTCTCCGTGGCCCATCCCCTCTCTCAGCACCTGGGCCTGTTGATCTGGACCTAGACCAAGAAATGGAGGCTAGAAGTGAGGGATCCTTTAAGAAAGGAGAGAGTCCATGCATGTTGAGTGACACTCCTTGGGCTTCCACGGGTGCCCTACCCAGCAAGCTGCAGCCACTGTCCCAGGGCCAAACTTCCCAAACCCACCAGATCTTTGCCGATGTGGAGAAAATCTTAGGGAGGGCTCCAGCCCAATGCAGGACAGAAATAGCTGATCAGCAGGGTTTGGAGACACCTCAGAAGGCAGCAGAGAAAATCTACCTGGGGTCTTCAGACCCTGAAATAGAAGAGCTGGAAATGAGGACCAGACAGCAGATGCTTGGAGCCCTGGGTCCTCAGAACACTGGGCCTCTCGAGAATGGGCAAGATGTGTTAGGAAGCAAGAGCCAGGACCCTGTCCACACTAAGCTTTCTGAAGCCAGCAAGGGCCCACAGCTAAAAAGGGAGAAGCATAGCCACAGCATAGCCACACTGAGCTCCACTGGCCCTGCGGGGGACAAGGGTCACAGTCCTGTTCCCTTGCACTCCCCTGAGGAGGAGTCCTCCCTGTCCCCTTGTTCTTCTGACCACATGCTGCCTACCAGGAAGAGCAAGATGTTCTTAGTAGATGGCAGCTTAGCTGAAGATCTGAGTTGGCAGGGAGTTCCTGGGGAAGGTTAGAGTTTGGGCAGGGGGAGGCGAAGGAGAGAGCCCCCAGGAATGTGGGTAGAAGAAGTCTCCAAGCTTGTCAACACGGACACCCCCGGGATCTGTAAGAAAACAGAGCCCAGTGCCCCTGTAGCTCTGGGGGCCACAGCTGAAGATCCACTGCAGGGTTGCTTCCTAATACGACCTGATACCCTGGCATCAGAATCAGCCCAGAATGCCTCTTCTGAGGCTCCAGACATTGAGAAGAGCCAGCTCCCAGAGTCTCCAGACCCTCCCAATGAAGGTAGGAAGCCTAGTGTGTCTGGGACTGACCTGGAGAGCTGCAGCAGTGGCGACAGCAGCCAGGCCTTGCCTCTTGTGTCTCTAATCCCTGGTGAGGCGAACAGCTTCCCTGGGGGCCTACAGAGCTCCTGAGCATCTGTGCTGGCGGTGGATCATTCGGGCCCGGGGCCCAGAGATTCACACTTGTGCCCCTACCTGGCATTCCACTTGTCTCACATACAAAGCTCTGCTGAGGAGCAGTCAGAGAGTGGAGACTACTCTGAGGATCAGAAGTTCTACCAGCACATCCTGCAGATGGTCAAAATCTCCAGGAGGCTGGAGGGTCTGGGGCTGTCTGAGAGCATGCAGGAAATACCATGCAAAGACTTTGCCGACATGGTCTGTTGCATGGCTGCTGAGTCTTTCAGGATGTCTAGTGAGGGTGAACAAGAGGCCATGAGAATCATGGAGAGGGACTTGAGGTTTCTGTCGTGCGGGCTGCAGCTGCTGGAACACCATCAGGAGGTGGCCCCTGTCTTTGCAGGGCAGGAGGTTCCTCAGCAAGCCTACTGCCAGCCAAGCAGCAGACCCCTCAGGCAGGAGCTAGTCGAGCTGAGTATCAACAGAAGGCTTGCTACAGAGCCAGGGGAGACACAGCTTCTCAACCAGGTAGGCTTCTTAGAGAGCATGGCCTGAGGCTTCAGGCCAGGGTGAACTTAGCAGGGAGGGAGCAGGTGGAGTTCATGTCTTAACAAAGCCCTTACATTTGCTTTCTTCTTACTTATCCTCCCTTAGTACTACTGATCCCTTTACCCAGATGGCTGTCTTGTGGGACAACATATATTTCTTCTACTGCATCTCCTACAAGATAGGGCATTTTTGACTTCCCTTCCCTGGATATAATTGTTAATTTGTGGGTGGTTCACATGCTTTGAAGGTGATCAGCACCGACAGTGGGCAAGGTGGCACTAATGCTGGGGATCATACAGGATATAGCCACCTTCTGGGGTTTGTGAAGCCTTTCTCATCAACTAATTCGGAAGCAGGGTTATTTCTAGGAACAACCTACATCAAAGCTCTGAACCTGTCCTTCTCGGAGGCATGAGGAACTAGAGAGTTTATACCCTCACGAAGGACTGAGGCACACAGTCTCCTTGTACTGTCCAATGAGCTGTTTCTGCTGCTTTCCTCTTGGGTCCCCAGAAACCAAATAGCTAAATTGTGTCATGCTTGTGCAGTCCCTATTTGTGACTTTACTTCCTCCCCTACTGGGATTTGCCGAAGGGCTGGGCTTGCCCTGTCATTCTAATCCTTTGTCCCTATAAGAGTCACCATATTCTTCGTTCAGAAGAAGTCAAATTGGATCAGAGACTATGGAGATCAGTCTGAATTTCCCTGGCTATTTTGCTCTGGCCCAGCTGTGGCTTTACCCAGTTATTCCCTCTGGTTCCTAATTGCTGACGTGCACTGCTTCTCTGTGAGCTTTAATAACTACTATAGTACTATAAATATCAGATAAGCTGCAGATTATCCTGAAAGTTTTAATTAGCCCAATGGCAGCAAGTTTATCTTCTCTGAAAGACAACGCCATGCACAGCCCCACACTCAGAGTTAATGGCCATCTATAGAAGATGATCAGCTAGGAGCCAGGAATGTATAATTTTTATGCTAACCACTGATTTAGTAAAGGGCCCGGAGAACAAAGGCTTCAGCATGCCTGTCTCTCTCCCTCAAGCCCCCAGCACGTTAGCAAATTAGCCATGTTAGGAGTCTATAATTTTCTGTAAATACAGTGTGGGAAGAATTTTGCTTGCTGATATGCTGGGGCTGGTTGGAAGGGCTAAAAGTAGGAGGGCCTGGGCCAGTTTGCTCGTAGTTCATTTAGAGAAGCTCTTTTTTTTTTTGGTGCTGGGGATCAAACTCAGGACCTTGTGCTTGTAAGGCAGGTGCCAGAACCACTGTGCTAAATCCCTGGCCCAAACAAGCTCTTTTTTCCCCCTGCAAAGTTCTCTTGCTAGCCCTGTGGCTTTGGATAGGGTTCTTGATCTCACCAACCTCCATTTGCTCAAGGGGAGTGTGGGTAAAGGCAGAGCTTGCCTCCAGTTGTTGTGAGAGTAAGATGAGACATTACGTATCAGTGGTACTCAGGCATTTTGGCCAATTTTATGTATCAGCTCTTTTTCTCCCTAACAGTGATACTCTACAACAGTCTAGATGGTTGGGGATCTGCAGAGACTCAGGGGTGGTTCTCACCTCACCTTTCAACCAAGCATCCGATGCCCTCTCTATGCAGAAACAGGCCCAGCTGGGACTACCCAGGGACCTGGCTCTTAGGCTTAGGCTGAGGCTGTGGCTGAGAAGATGACCAGTCTGAACTTCCTCAGCCTGACTTCTTCTGGGTTCCTTTTTCTTCAGTTCCTGTGGGATTAGAGGGAAACAAAACTTTTGCTTCCTTTTATACATTTTAAGTTTGAGAAATGAAGAGCTCTTTGTAAATTGTCCCCAGAATGCTGATCTCACCTGTGCTTTTTCTTTTTTCTTTTTTTTTTTTTGTATCAGGGATCGAACTCAGGACTTTGTGCTTGTGAGGCAGGCATAATGCCACTGAGCTAAACCCCTGGCCCTTCTTCTTCTTCTTTTGTTTTTTTTGGTACTGGGGATCGAACTCAGATCCTTGTGCTTTTGAGGCAGGCGGTGGAACCACTGAGCTAAATCCCTGGCCCTATTTTTTTTTTTCTTTGAGACAGGGTCTTACCATGTAGTTCAGACCAGCCTTGAGCTCAGTAGGTAGCTTAGGCTGACCCTCCTGCGTTAGCCTTCCAAGTGCTGGGATTGTAGGTGTGAGCCACCATGTCCGGCTGGCCTATGCTTCTGTAAGCCCAGGTAATCATAATGGGAATCTGAGCAATGGTGCCATCCCATAATATCAGAGTAGCCTGGGCCACTCACAAAGACCCCTTGCATTCATCATCTGGTTTGAGCTGCTCAGTAAACCCTCCCTGGGGGCACAGCACCCACCCTGTTCATCTTGCAGATGAGTAAACTGGGAACCCGAGAGTCTGTTGATCTCACACCACACCTTCTGCCCTCAATCTAGTTTCTGTCGATCTTCTTTTTTTTGGTACCAGGGATTGAACCTAGGACCTTGCACTTGTGAGGCAGGTGGCTGAACCACTGAGCCTAATCCCTGGCACACCCAGTCTAGTTTCTTTCCCCAGTCCTGGCTGGCACAAAGCCTTTGTGAGAGCAGGGCGGAAGATTGCTCTCTTCCACAGGTCTCTTCTCAGTGCCTTCCCCAGCAGTGGAGCGCAGAGAGAGTTCTTTTGTTGTTCATGCATTTTTTTTTTTCATTTTCATTAAACTAATAGATGCCCATAGTTAGAAAAAAAAATTCCAAAATCAAGTCAAATAGTACCAAAAGGCATATGACAAAGTACAGCAGTTCTCCAGGGTGCAGAGCCCTCCTCAGAGGCAGCCACTGTTTTCTGGTGTTTACTTCCATCTTTGTCAGTGATATGCTGAGATTGCTTTTTCTGCACTCATCAATTTTAAGCTTTATCTATTGAGACTTCTTGTTCGGGTAGATGAGGGTTTTGTCTCTGCATCCCTCTCCCGCATACTTCCTTCATGGCTTCTGAAAGGAGAGCAGAACCCTATGCAGCATCTGCCAGATGTGAGAGAACTGTTTATGTGCTATAGCATTCGAGTTATGAGAATCAAGAAACAAGCCTGTGATTTCTCACACAGTTGGCACAATGGCAATTTCTGGATGTTGTGTTTCATTAGTATCCTCCAAGCGGAGGGTTTAAATTTGAGCGGGCAGGATTTAGATGTTTTATTTTTGTATCTGTATCCGACACTCTCAGAGCCATGTGGTTTCTTGGGTTTGTAATGAGATATTTTTTGTTGCCCAGGCTCTGGGTTCCTCATTAGCCCCGATCCATGTTCCTCTCAAGGGCCTGGCTCCTTTACGAGGCCTCGTGGATGCCCAACCCTCTGCTCTTCGTGGATCTCAAAATGTGAGTCCAGGGAGCTCTGCAGAGTCTGTTCAGCTCGGGGAATTCCCGCTGGTAAGTACTTTGATGGTGTGTAGAGTGTTTAATTATCGCCAGGCCTCCTAGAACCAGGGCCCATAGATGAAGAGTAGAGGAATAGACCGAGTCCTCAGCAGTCATAATCGGATACAGGAGCTGAGTCATGCCTGTGTGACGCCAAATGTGGGTGTTGGACAGTAGAGGACAGGTCATGGCAGAGGGATACCAGTTCTGACTTCCCTGTCCTCAGAGCCAGGCAGTGGGAGCCGGAGCCCCCAGGTCAGCATCCTGGACAAGGGGGCACTTGATGTGGGAAATGTCTACACGGAGAGTAGGAAAAGCATTCCACAGTCATTCTGTAAGTCTTCCTGGTGAGTCCTCCCTTGATTTTCCTTCTCTATTTTGGAGCCTCCACAGGATCTCAAGACTTCTGCTTATTCAAAGGGTCTCTTGGGCTCCATCCATGAGGACAAGAATGCTGTCAGCCTCTTGGCTTTAGGGGAAGAGACCAATGAGGATGAGGAGGAGAGTGACAACCAGGTAAGGATGAAGTCCTTGTCCTGGCCTACAAACCTTCTGTACAATTTTGTTTTCTTGAAAAATGTTTTTTAGGGGCCGGGGATGTAGCTCAGTGGCACTGAACCTGCCTGACAAGCACAAGGTCCTGAGTTTGATCTCCAGTACTGAAAAAAAAAAAAGAAAAGAAAGAAAAAAAATTTTTTTGATAAACTATGTATGATGTAAAATTTGCTATTTTTACTTTTTTTTTTTTTTTTGGCAGTACTATGGACCAAACTCAGGGCCTTCACACTGAGGGACATCTTCAGCCCTTTTAAAATTTTTTAGGTTAAGGCAGGATCTTGCTAAGTTACTATGTTGCCCATGCTAGGCTTGAACCTATCTTCCTCAGCCATCCAGAGGGCTGGGATTATAGGTGTCACTACCACGCCCAGTCACTTTAACTATTTTTAAGTGTACAGTTCAGTGGTCTTAAATACCTTCACAATTTTGTACAATCATCACCACCCTTTATTTCCAGAAGCTGGTCATAATCCCAAATAGAAACTCTGTACCTGCTGGGCAGGGTGGCTCATGCTTGTAGTCCTAGCACTTGGGAGGCTGAGGCAGTAGGATCACCATGAGTTCGAGGTCAGCCTGGACTATATAGCAAGACCCTGTCCTAAAACAAAAAACAAACGAACTCTTTACCCATTAAACAATCACCCTATTCTCCAGCTCCTGGTAACCTCCAGCCTGGTTTATGTCTCTATGAGTTTGCCTATTATAGATATTTTGTATAAGTGGAATCATACAGTATTTTTTCCTTTTGTGTCTTTCATCTTTCATTTAGCATGTTTTCAAGGTTCATGTTGCAGCGTTCATGTGAATGTAATTCTGTTCATTCCTTTTGAAGGCTGAATAGTGTTCCATTACATTTATGCTACATTTTGTTTATCTACTCATCTGTTAATGAATACATGAGTTGGTTCTACCTTTGGCTGACCTCTGTGCTATTTTAATAAAAGCAAAAATGATTTTGTAACCCACAATTTCATTTCTTGATCAGTCTGTGTGCATCCTAGGTCTGATCCTGAAGATACAGCTGAGGAGCTTCTTGGCCATTTGCTTGGCACACAGAATTATTCACAATGGGTAAAGGGCTGGTTAGTGGCTCCTGCTCTGAAGCCCTGGCTTGGCCCTGCCTGCCAGCTTAGCAGGACCCCACTTCTCCCTCTGCATGCCCCTCCCTTGGGATGGCCACAGACTTACCTAATCTCATGATCATTTTTGTTTCTAGAGTGTCCAAAGCTCCAATGAGTTTTTTAAGAACCTGCATCTGGATCTCGGGTCCCTGGGGGGGAACTTTGAATATGAGGTAAGAGCCTGAAGCCCCTGATGGCAAATGCTTCCTCCTTCCTTCTGAAGCCTTTCTGTTTATGGGATCATATTTGGAAAGGTACCCATTTTGTTCCAGTCCTATCCAGGATTTGTGGGGTTTAGAGAATGAAAAGGAGCAGGGGATCCATTTACTTACTCATATATCAAATAACCATTTCTTGAATGTTAGTGCATGTGACACTTCACTAGGTGCTGTAAGACCTGTGAACATAAAAGAAATCTGCTTACTGCAATCTCAGATTCTGCATTCTCAAAAACTTAGGAAGAAGAAATTACTTGTGTGGACATCAGGGAAAACTTGGTAGAAGAGATAACTTCTGAACTGGGTCTTAAAAGAGTAGCTGAGTTTTAGACAAGATGGATATGAAGGAATATTCTAGGCAGTTGAACAACCTGAGTAAAGGTTTGAAGGCCGAAAAATGTAGAGTGTAGATGGGAATAGCTTCTGGAACATGCTACCGAGTTCTGATCCCTTTCTCTGAAGTCTGTCCTCTTTCCCATGAGAATGTTCTTTTTAAAGAACAGATGAACAGCAAAACTCATCATGATTTAATGCCTACAACCTCCAATGTGTATTTGCACTTGGAAGGGAACATCTCCTACTATGTGTTCTTTGTCTAGTGTCTGACTTATTAACTTTTAAACAACTGAAATTTCTTTATTCCCAAAATAAAGAACAGCCAATGGATCATGAAGTCAATGAGTTAGAGTTACACAAACATTTAAATACTAGCTGCAGGCTTAATTCGTTAAACTTTTTATAGGTCTAGTTTATCAAATTCTTTTAAATACCTTAAACACCTTAAAATGAAACCAATCACCCACACCTTATTAGAATGATCACAAAACAGGCCAGTAAAACAAAAGTGCAACTATCATAGATTTAAATTTGTTTCCTTATTATACCATGTTCTTTCCTTTCTTTTTCTTTTTTTTTGTTGATATTGGGGATTGAACCCTGGGAGCACTGAGGTACATCCCCACCCTTCTTATGTTTATTTTCTATTTTGTGACAGAGTCTTGCTAAAGTTGCCCAGGCAGGCTATCAACTTCTGATCCTTCTGCCTCACTTTCCTTAGCTAGGATAAAAGTCATGTGCTGTCAGGCTTTATCCCTTATTATTTCTGACTTGTTTTTCTTGGTGTTCATCTCACCTTCAGAGCCAGGGGACTGTCTCAGGCCAGCTAAGGTTTCAGATGCTGGCTGACAGGCCCTGATGTGGTTCTTGAGACCTGAAGCTGTAGATGGACCTCCCAACCCTGTCTCCCAAGGTGACACAGCCCTTCCTGTTGGACAGGACCTTCTTCTTAGGTTCTTGCCTGCTAGAGCAAAAGCTATCCAACTTTTTGGATCTACACAGTCATGTAAGTCTTGATTGTGACTTTAACCCTTTCTGCCAAATGTGGCACTTTTTTCTGAGTATCCCATCTGTTTTGTCGATCTGATACATGTCTACTTTGAATTGGTTCCTTTTGAACAGAACTTAGTTTGGATGGGTGCCTCAGAGGCCTTCATTCTGTTTGGTTCCCTGATATGACAACTTTGTTTTACCCTCAGCCACCGTTAAGACCTGCACTGACTGATGGAATCAAAGGAGCTGCTCCGTTTTGAGTGACCTTGAGTAGTTATGAGAGTGTTAGGCAGACTTAGTTGCTTTTGGAGGAAGAGGATAGTTTCCTAGACACTGAGCAAGATGAGGGTGGAGATTCTGCCTATTCATATTTATATTTGAGCACCATGCCCATTGCCTGGAACATAGGAAGCTCCTGGGGATGTTTTGTTAAACAATGGAGAGTGAATGAATACATGAATGAAGGCGCTATATGCTGGGATGGGGTGGGGGATATCTAGGCAAGTTGTACAGTATTTTTTTCTTCCCATGGTTTTCTCAAGTTCTGGGTAGAGTGGTACTTGGTTCTTGCTAGCAGCTGGTGGATTGATGATCTCAACATGGACTGATCATGATTCACTGTGATCTTGAACTATTTAACCTTTACTTTGTAGTGGGTTACAGATGTCGACAAAAAAGGCATTTTCATCTTTATCATGTCCTGAATTTCTTGAAGATTTTCTTTCTGATGATTATGTGGGGGGAGTGGGAACTTGCAAACATTTTATAACCTCTTTAATATAAATAGGCACCTCAGTGTGATGGGGGAAATGTCTGGAGTGGGCAGTGTTAATACACCTCCCACCCCTGTCTCTAGCAGCCCAGCAGATTGAGTTCTTTTTGTCACATGGGGTGTGGAATTCATATGTTCTAACTTCAGGCAGGAATTAGGGCTTTTTCTGCTAGGGAAAGCTAGTAGTGAGGATGAATGATGATTTTGGAACAGGCAAAGCTGCATCTGCTTGCGCTCTGGCCTTTGAGAATGCCTTTTGTCTCAGCTTACAGTCCTTGGATCCTCTGAACTGTCCACTTTTCCCTACTGTCTGGCATCCCAGGCAGCCTTTGTGTAGAGCGTTTCTTCCTGGCTTAACTCTGCCTTATCTCACTGAGCAATCACTTTGCTCATGTTTCCATGAGAGGGCAGTAGGATGGCAAGAATGCATCTTTCCCCCTGTGTCTTTCTCCCTCCTCTTCTGTCTTCCAACTTAAACCCATTTCTAGTCTGTCACAGACTTAGAAGGGAAAGTTTCAGGGAAACAGCACTGAGAACGCATATGAAGGAGGTGGGAGAGGCAGAAGGGTGGGCGAGAAGGCAGTATGTGGCCATTTGGCCATGTGGCGCTGATGAAAAGCCCATCAGCAGATCAAAGGAGCAGGAGGGAGCCAGGGCTTAGAAATAACAGGATGATGTCAGTGTGATCGGAAAGCGCTAACTACACTGGGGAGCTGTGCAAAGAGTTGAGACCAGCTAGGGTGGGGGTGAGACCAGAAAAATAAACTGGACTGATGTTTGGCCTGGCAGATGGTCTCCCCAGACAGATCAATGCATGGTTCAGCCCCCCGCCCCATACGATTGCAGGAGTTCCTGGCCTTGTGTTCTAGTCAGGAAGTGGAGACCGTAGCCCTGGAGAGTTCTGGCTTTTGGGAGAGGATGTCAGATATTCTTGAAATGGTTCTTATATGTACTCCTTGGAGCCCCCTCCTCATGCAAATGGCCTTGTGATGTTCAAGGACCTGGGGCAGTAGCAGCAGGAAAGGAGAGTGTGAGCTCAGATGAGCTGAGGGCAAAGCCGGGTACCCACAAAAGCCCAGGGCATGAGACTGCACAGGTACCTTGAGTGTGTATGCTGGGTAGGGACTTCTGGATTCTGGTCTGGTGATATGCCAAGGAGTAGCAGCTGGGAGAAAAGAGGTGGGTGTGAGTCAGTTGTACTCAGCTCTTGTTCAGCCATTTGTGGATAACCTATGGCCAGTGTAATCTCCTCTGCTTTCTCCACCCTCAAGGTGAGCCTCTGGCTAGCCTGTCATTGGAGTTCGTTGACAAGGTGCAGTATTATTCTAATACTAGCCATGTTTTAGTATTTAGATAGACAAGGATCAGCCCCATCATATGAAAAAATCATTGTTTTTTTGGTGCTTTGGGTTGAACTCAGGATCTTGTGCATATTAAGTACACCCTATACTGAGGCACACCCCAAGCTGAAAATCTTCTTTTGGAGACTTTAAGGCTTGAGAGTTGGTTAGACTGGGCCAAAGGTTATTATGTAGTCTACTTGTATCCTCTCATGTATGAGAACGAGAATCTCTACTTGTATCTGGCATTTTCTGATTTTTGATAGGTTACTTGTTTTTCCATCATTTTGAATAGTTAATAGTTAACATTTGTTTGATATTTTCCATTTAATAAGCACCATAACTACTATATAGTCTAATCCCTGTGTGACCTTGACAAATAAGTATTACATCTCTATTTTGCATTGTAGGGAGAGAAGCTTCAGTTCCTCTATCTGCACAACACACCTATATGCTCATTGATGGCTTTTTTTTTTTGGTAGTAGTGGTGGTGGTACTGGGGATTGAGTGCAGGGCCTTTGCGCTGAGCTACATTCCCAGCCCTTTTACAATTTTTTATTTTGAGACAGGGTCTCACTAAGTTGCCTAGGCAGTCGAACTTGTAATCTTCCTGCCTCAACCTCACAGAGGCTGGCTTGACTTTTAAAAATCCAGTCAACAAGCCTTTACTGAGCATCTGTTATATGCAGGAAACTGGGTACTTAACACAATAGGGAGCAAACCTGATGAGAGAAATAGACCAGGAAGCCAGCAATTATGATAGGTGTTATGGAAGAGGATGGGGAAAGCTGATTTCAGGTCAGCTGGCCCAAGGGTCAAGGAAAGCTTCCTGGAAGAGGTGATGTGAGGACCAGGGAAGTTTGTTTGAATAGGGGTGTGTGTGTGTGTGTGTGTGTAAGAATGTGCATGGCAGGGCAGAGGGTATTTCAGTGTTAGAGTGCATGCTTAGTATGTGCAAGGCCCTGGGTTCTATCTATAGCATCCCCTCACCAAACAAAAAAGCACAGCAAATTAGAGAAGTAGCGTGGTTTACCTGCAGGCAGGGGAAGAGAATGTGACCAGACTGTGGCTGGAGATGAACCATGGGAAGCAGGCTAGGGCTGGCTAGGCAGGGCTGTGGGCTAAGTGAGAAAGTGAACTTCATCTTCATCTTGGAGGCTGTAGGTGCTGTCAGGGGCCTGACACTTCCCTTGTCTCCTAGCCCAAGGTCTGTTCCCTGGCAGCCCTCTTTGGGCCAAGTTTCACTCTCAGCTTTAAGCAGGATAACCTTCCTTAATTCCAGATGTGCATGGCCAGGATGGATTTGACACTACTTGCTGAGGGAGGGCATGTGGCTGGCTAGATATCCCTCTCCTACCCTGAGAAACTGTCACTCTGGAGTCTGTGGAGCCCTGCAGACTAGTCATGGAGCCCTTGCTGAGTTCTGGCTGCTGCTGGGAAGTGAAGCCTAGCCATAGCTCAGAGCAGCTTGTCTGCAGAAGAGGAGCTCTATCCTCTTTCTTCAGCCCAGGGATCACACAGATTATTTCTATATGAGGGGAGGGAGAAGTAACACTATATAGTACCTGCATTCTCCAGTTCACCTTCTGCTTTTCTTCCAGGTACGGGTTGGGGCTGATGTCAGTGTCACCCCAGCATCTGGTGTTTCTTTGCTTTGGGGAGTAAAAGCTTATAACAAAGCCTATCTGGGACATTTTCCTTTTCTTAATGTTGGCTCAGTTCTCTGAGAGAAAGATGTATGTCTCAGTCATGTGTGGTTCCCCAAGGCAGCGTTTGGCATATAGAAGGTGCTCAGTGGACAAACATGTTAGGTCTTATCCTACAGTACTAGGTAACATTTATTAGACACTCTCTGTATACTTCTGTATACTTCTAAGTTCTGTAACTCACTGAATCAGTGTTAACTCATTTATTCTTCCCAGCAACCCTATGAGGTGGGCACTATTACATCCTTATATTTTGGAGGAGCAAACTGAGGCACCGAGAACTTAACCTGAGGTGATACATCTGAAAGGTTGGTGCCAAGATTTGAGTGTAGGTTGTTTGTTTCCAAAGCTGAGCTGTGTACTGCTTTGTTTTACTGCCTGTCTTTACCATCTTTGAAGAGCTTAGGTTAGCTTGTCAATAGGCTACCAGACCTGTAGGCGATGGTTATATCTTTGGGCTTAACAGATACTTTGCCAGAGCATTCTCATCAATAAATGCCGTGTTTAGGGCTTCTCTTTGAACTTTTTTTTTTGGTACCAGGGATCGAACTCGGGACCTTAACTCTTGCTAGGCAGGCGGCAGAACCACTGAGCTAAATCCCCGGCCCTCTTTGAACCTTTTGATTCTTGTGTTGGTCAGCTTTCTATCACTGCAGTGAGATATCTGAAATAATTAATTTGTGAAAGAGGTTTATTCTGGCTTTGGTCCCTGATCAGTTGCCCCATGTTGTTTTGGGCTGTGGTGAGGCAGCATATCATGGTGGGCACATGTGGTAGAGCAGAACTGTTTACATCCTGAGCCAGGGAGCCCAGAGAGGAAGGGACTAGGGCCCCACAATCCCCTTCCAGGGTATGCTGCCCAGTAACCTAAGGACCTCCAACTAGGACCTACCTCCTACAGGTTCTACCATCTTCCAGTAGCTCTACGTGGGGACTAAGCCTCAAACACATGAGCCTTTGTGGATCATTCAAGGTCTAAACTGTAACACAGTCATCATGCTCCTTGTTTGAATCTTCAGAATAGAGAAGCAGAAAGTCTTACAATTCCCTGGTCAGGAATTGTTCAACCTGACAGCTCAAGTGTTAGTACAGATGTTTTCTGGAACGAAACCTTTGCAGCCGGAGCCCAGGAGAGAGCACAGGCTAGATTTCCAGAGAAGGATTTTGTGCCTCTATTTTGGCCAACTCAAGAGAATTCAGTGAAAGCAGTCATAGATTTTTACTTGTCTTTAAAGTGAGGTTTGTGTGTGAGAAGCAGGTGTGGTTGCTTTTGATGTGTGGTGTTCATATCTCCTTGTAAGAGACCCTGCTGAGTGGAACTTAGAAGATTGACAGCAGCCAGCTGATGTCCTTTTGTACTTTCTAGTTTATGCCTAAACCATGCTTCCTCTTAGTGACAGGTCACATGGGTTGAAGGACAAGGCCATTCCTGCCTGAATGGGCCTCCTTTAATGACATTCTGCTGGGATACTCTCTACTGGGCTGGACAACACTTCTCAGAATCATCCTGTGCTTTCCTCCATCTCCTGTCTTCCTTCTCTGGAGGCACTGGTTCAGACCTGCATCATGTTCTGAAAGGCCTCCCTGTTCCTTTATCCATCCCAGACATCTCCTCTAATAGATCTTTTGTACCTTTTGTTAGATCTAATAGATCTAACCCCATCATGACATTGCTTTTCAGAGGACCCAAATTGATAGTCCTGGATGGACGACACTGTCTGCAAGGTTGTCAACGATCAGCTTGTACAAGGGAGGCTTTGGGGAGGAAGGGAACCCTCCTTGGTTTTCATTTGCTGGTTATGAAAAATGAAAGGTACAAATTCTGGACTTTGCCAGCTTTCTCTCACATGATTTCTTATCATCCTCTTAAATGAATCTTGGCTTTTGAGTTTGCAGTCTTTTGGCTAATGGGGCTGGAAAGAGACAGACTTATTTCTAGAGGACATGATAGATGATGGCAGAGTTGTGTAGTCCAATGCAGTGATTTCCAAGCCCATCAGTGGACAGGAGTCCAGTTGGACATAACTGATCACCATAGAAATTCCAATCTAGTAGATCTGAAGGGGACAGGAATCTATGTTAGGTGTTGGAAACTTGGAGTGAAAACTCAAGCACTAGTCCATGGAAGTCAGGAAATAGCAGCTCCATCGTGTAGCATGTCTCTAAACTGCTTTTCTGTATTCTTCATGTTTTCCTTTCTGACATAATCTGTGATCCCTAGGAGTCTCCAAGAACAAGCCAGCCAGTGGAGAAGGACATTTCACTTGATTCAGATATTGCCAGCCCCACTACTCCTGGAAAGCTCCTCAGACAAGGCACGGACAGTAGTCTGAGCAGTGCTGATGGCAAGGGACCGCAGGACAGAAGATCAAGTCCTTGGCTCCCAGGAAAAGAAGAGAATGAGAAGAGTGATCCTGCAGCTTTCACATGTCGGGTGACCCCTGGGGTGGACCCTGGGGTTGGTCAGCTTGCCAAGGGCTCTAAAAAGGGCTCTAAAGAGGACCTGATAGATGTAAGAGAGGAAGATTCCATGACAGAAGAAGCAGCAAAAGAGCTAAAGAGGGAAGCTTCTACTGCAAAAGAGAGCAGATCAGATGCCAGTGAAGTAAGTCACTATGGTGTCCCCTAAGTACCGGCCACCTGTACCCTCTGCTTCTATCTTTGGCCCTGTGCAGCTTCCTATCCCCACATCTTCATTACTGAGTCAGGAGCATCATTCGAAGGTGTGTACTGGGCTGTCAGCATCAGCCAGAAGCCTTAATTGTGACAAATATACCCAGACCCAGCAGGCAGTAAAATCCTGAGTGAAACAGCAAATGTGCTGGCACTGGAAATTTAGAGCAGAAATGAGGTTTTCCATTGGCCCCCTTCTGGGATGTTCATATTCTTCTCTGCTCCTGCTTGCTTACTTTTCCCCTTCCCTGCCTCTCCCTCTACTTCTAGTCTTGGTTCGCTGCAATCTGACCGAATTGTTCTGTTGAAGTTGTGTGTGTGTGTGTGTGTGTGTGTGTGTGTGTGTGTGTGTGTACCATAGTTGAGTGTGTTCTTCCCCAGCACAAGTATATTAGGTTACAAAAATATTTTTTTTTTGGCACTGGGGATTGAACTTAGGGCCATTGCACTGAGCTACATCTTGTCATTTTAAAATTTTTTACCTTGAGACAAGGTCTTAGTCAATTGTTAAGTTGTTGAAGCTGGGCTTGAATGTGGGATCCTTCTGCCTCAGCCTTCCAGAGTGCTGGAATTACAGGCTAGTATTGAACTCATTATGTGCTCAGGCTGGCTTCAGTCCTTCTGCCTCAGGATCCCATGTGCTGGGATTACAGGAGTGTGCTGTCATGCCCAGCAAGGAGACTCTTCTCCTTGATTTCAGTGGCTCTTACAGAGGCAGCACAAGACGTGGAAGTGGTTGCTTTTACCTGACTAGGCCAGTGACTAAAATGGACAGAAATATGTCTGAGTGGGGACAGCTTTTGGCATTTTAGATTTTCTAATCCTTGGTCCTCAGGGAAGATGGTGAGGGAATTCAGTTAGAGAGCTTTTATCTACTTCCTGGAAAAGGTACCATTTTTCCATTTTTTAGGGTAGCATCAAGCTTCTGTATTGCCAACTTTCTAATTATCTCTACTGCACTTGGCTCCTCTCACATGTGATGCTGGACTGATCTGATTCAGAGCATGGTTGTCTACACTCAAATGGGCCATCCAGCCCTGGCTGGTCATAGGAGACAGACTTGCATTGTGTGTCTGGAGAGAATGGCAGGCTCTTTGCAGTTTTAAGAAGAGGTAGATTTCAGTTTGGCTTGACTCTCTGCTCCCCTCTGGGGGATTTCTCTGTGTGTCTGTCTCCTTAGGATTTGGAGATTAGTGAATGTAAGAAGGAACCACAGCTCTCAGACTCCATGGCTTCTGACCCCAAGTCCTTCCTTGGCCTGGTGAGTTTGCAATAAGAGGAAGCATTGTGGGAGACAACAGCATGGATTTTTGGGTCCCCTGGGTTAAGTAATGTATCTGGCATCACAAAGCTAGTAAGTGGGGAAGTTAGCACTCAACGTTGGGTCTTGTTAGCTCCTATCTCTCAACCTGTTAACTACAGATAAGATCATTTGCCTATATATTTGCTATGAGCAGAAAGTGAGGTAGAGAAGTAAAACATGAGCTTTTCAACGTTAAGTAGATGTTATTGTTATTACTCTTACTGTGAGTGAATTGTCTATGAGATCATGTGAGCTGCTTCTAAGCTCTAGCCGGGATGTTACCCAAATCTAGAGGTTGTGTTTCTGGGACCACTGAGCAATGAGGCAAGGTACAATCCCTAGGTTTTGGCTGGGAGGGCTGCTGTGGTGTCATCTTTAAAGTTAAGGTTTTGTCCTAGAGTGCAAGCATCCATGGTTTCTTTGTCCCAGATCCTCTGCCCAGCCTTCTGTATTCCCAGTTTGCTATGTCTGAGTCTAGGGAGAGTAGTTGGGGTACTTTTTGGCCAAGCATTGCCTCTAAATACCTCCCTCCATCTGTTTGGAGAATGCAGATCAAAGGCAAGAGATTAGTGGGAGAGGGTCAGGGATGAGTAGTGATGATATGGAGCAGGGGGCAGAGGAATTAGGAGGCTGTGTGCTCTAGCCCTGCACTGAACCATGGGCTTAGGAGGCAGATGGCAGATCCAATATTTGGAGTAGAATTCAAACTGAAAGTTAAATGTCACCAAAAGAGAAAACCCCACAAACTAGGGAGGGAGGGAAAAAGTCATTGTTGTTGGCAAAAACCATTGATGAAGAGTAGCCATGTCATATTCAGCCAGTATCACTGAACTGGAAGCTAAGAGTGGCCCTCTCAAAGCAGCCACCATGTGGTGAAATGCGTCCATCATTTTTTTTTTTTCCTCTATGGGGTGGAGGGAGAAAGCCATGGACAGCATGGGTAGCCCTTGTCTGGGCGTCCCGCCATTTATCAGGGCTGATGACCCAACTGTCCCCATTAGCATGCTGTCGGACAGCAGTCCTTCACTTAGCCCAGCAGGATCTTGACCTCGGTGTGGGGTTGGTCCTGTGACAGCCAAAGGGCATTGAGGAGCTGGCCCTGGGTTAGCACTTGCTGCCTGTCCCAAAGAAGTCTGTAGGGAAAGGACTGCTAGTTAATTCCCATCATCCAGAGAGGTGCTTGTAGGGGAAGGGGGAGGGCTTGAATGAGCTGGAAGGAACCCACCAAACCTCATTTCCAAGCTGCCCACAGGTTTTCTGGCACTTGTGGTACCCTGGGTAGGCATTGAGGGGAGAGACAGCTGGAAAGTGCTGTGCAGTACATGTCCTGGACAGAGCTTGGGTTTTGGAGTCAGCCCCAGGGCCTGTCTGACCCCCATTTCCTTTGCTTATCAGCTGTGTGACCTTGAGCAAATTGTGTGTGCTCCCCAGCCTGCTTCCACCTCTGTGAGTCTCGGTCTCCCAGGATTATTTTTTGCCCATGATTTTATTATGAAAAATTCAAACATCTAGAAAACTTAAAAGAATTTTACAGTGAATACTCACATACCACTTAGCATATGCAATAAATATTTTTCTATACTTGCTTTATCACATGTCTGTGCTTCTAGTTGGTGTTATTTTGAAGAGTAAATTAGTAGATGGCAACATGTTTATTTAGTATAGTGCCTGGCACGTAATGGATGCTTTTCTGGAAGGTTGGCATTAGGGGTAGAGGAGAGACAGAGTTGTGAAGAGACAGAGTTGACTTTCCTATCTTCACTGTCTCTAGGACTTTGGTTTTCACAGCCGGGTCACAGAGGACCTGCTAGATGGTGATATGCTTTCCCCAGTCCTGGATGGAGTCCACTGGGAGGTAAGTCTCTCTGGGTGCAGGCTGGGCTAGGGTCTCATTCTCCATGGTAGCCACTTTTTGGGATAGCCCACAGTGATTCTTGCCCATCCTAGCATGCTCTTCTGGATGTTCTCTCCCTTTTAATTCCTTAAGGCATGGCTCTGACTGCACATTTGATGGGGGTTCTGACTGTTCCTACTCTGTTGCTGCTGTATATTTATCCATTTATTCATTCATTGAGCAATTGAGGATTGACCATACCTGCTTATGCGCGAAGTGTTGTGGAGACTGGATTTTAAGACACTTCCCAACTTGGCCCATCCATCCCTTCCAGCTTCATCCTCAGTCCATCTGCCCCATCAGCTGAGTCTGCCCTTCATCCTTCCTGAGCAGCCCTTCTACCTCACCTACTGCTGGGCCTGCTGCTTCCTTCCCCTTCTGCCACAGCAAGCTCTTTCTGGTCATGGAGGCCCACCTCTGAAGCTCCCTCCTCCAAGCAGGATGAATTGTTCCTACTCTTTGCTCCCTTTTGGGCTTCTTGTTTTCTTTTGTGGTTATGTGTCTTCCTTGTCAGATGTACCCTCTGTGTGGGCACAGATGACATCTGACCCAGGTAGGGTACAAAGATGACTGAAATGAAGATCCTGTCCTCGAGGATTTAGACAGAGGATTGGTTTTTTTTCTCCTTTCTGGGTTGATCAGAGAGATTCTAGCACATGATCTCTGCAAGTTTAGGGAGCATTTGGTTTCAGTGAAATAGAATTTTATTGGGTAAAACAAACAAGATGTTTAGTATAAAGCCAGCCTGTAGTCCTTAGTGAAATGCTGGGACAGGCTAGAGTTTTCAGGTTGATTGCATTTGAGTCCTTCATGTTCCTCCTGGGTGTGTCTGATGCCTTCCTGGGCTGTTACCTATCTACCAGGTTTCTGATAGACTTTGGTTACCCTATTTGTGGTACTGGAGGAACATAGAAGTACAAACAAGGGCAAATTGGAAGTCAGAAAGAGTTTGGGGCAGGTAAATTGTTAGGCCCCTTTGGGAGCAGGTGAGTGGGAGAGCTACTGAGTTGGTAGAATGTGGGTGGGTAGGTCGGGGTGAATTCAGTTGTTCTGGCTCTGAAATTTGGCCAATATCAGAATTATTTGGGAGCTTTAAAACTGGGAGATTTCTCGGTCCTATCTAAGACCTAATGAGGCCAACAGCCTCTTTTTGGCTTGGTATAAAGTAGTAGCAGAGCTTGACTTGGGTTTGGTTCTCAGCTAAACCCCCCTCCCCCCATCCTGAGATAGCCAGCCCTGGCAGAGGAAGTCCTAAGTTACACCTGAGCCCAGCCTGTTGAATGGTAGGCAGCGCTGGATGCTCAGGTTGGCTGACCAACTAGAGCTCTTAGTAGGGCTCAGCCTGTAGCTCTCTTTGTATTCAGGGTGTGTGTGGTGGGTTGAGCAGGCAGGTGGAACTGGAGGAATGAGCAGCACGCCTTTTGTGGGACAGACAGAACCCTAACTGCAGTCTCCTTTGTCCTTCCTGTGGGCTCTGACCCATTTTGCTGCATTGTCCAGTTCTCTTCCAAGGACAAAACCATAGAGGCTTAGACCTGAGCTAGCCTAGTTTTTGTTCATTTAAAAAGTGTTTTGTGGGCTGGGAGTGCAGCTCCAAAGTAGAGCTCTTGCCTAGCATGGCTGAGGGCCTGGGTTCAATCTTCAGTACCACAAAGTGGGGAAGAAAAAGCTTTATTGAGCTACATGGTGGTACCTCAGTTTATGACCTTGATTCTTTCCATGATTCTAGTCACAAACTGAATTGGACAAAACCCAAATCAAATTCAATTGTTAAGTTCAGTGTTGACCTTATGGGGAAATTTGATTCAGTTTTTGTCAAGTTCGGTTTGCTACCAGAGTCATGGAGAGAATTGAGTTCATGAACTGAGGTACCACTGTGATTGACATAAAATAAGGTACATATTTAAAGTGCACGGGGCTGGGGATTGAGCTCAGTGGTTTCACCGCCTGCTATGCAAGCGCAAGGACCCGAGTTCAATCTCTGGTACCAAAAAAAAAAAAAGTGCACAATTTGATACATCTTACCACATGTATGAGGTGTGATCAAAAATATGAATGTTTAAATTTTTAAAAATTTGTTACAGTAAAAGACACATTGCCATTAATCCCCCTCAAAATCCTCCTCCTCAGTTTAAATACACTTGCCCAGTTGTTCTTGCCAGGAGAATTCTTGTGAAGCAGTTTTAGCAGTCTTCTTTTTTTTTTTAATCCTTTTATTGGTACATTTTAGGCATACAGTATGTTTATATTTATCATTGGGTGCTTGTACCTGCACCTCATGTATCTTGGTTCTTATTTTTTTCCCCATTACCTGTGCGCCCTTCACCCCTTCCAACCTTCCCTGTTTACATAGACTTCGTTTCCATTTTTTTTCTTTTCTCATAATTTTTCCTTTCCCTTCTTCCCTTTCCCCTTCCCTTTCCACCACCCGTACACCTTTGGACCTTTTCCTATTTCAAATTATCAATTATTCGTTTTAATC